CCCAAAATGAATACATACTGCAAGGCATGGCTGGCATACCCTGCTGTCTACCCTCAACTCCCCAGCCCCAAAATTAATACATACTCAACAGGCCCATTTTTTGCTTTTTAATCAAATTGTCCTTAATTGTCTCGCACTGATTAAATTTTAGTGCCATTTCCTCTAATGTATTATCCTGGTCAACTAAGCTACTTCCTGTTTCTTACTACTTAAGGTTTTATTCAACAACTGTTACAAAGCGCACAATGATTTTATGTAGAGTTATTTTCAAATGTGCATATTATTTACTCCCCTAGAAACATGGCCACAATTTTGATCGTTTGAACTCAATAGGGCTGAAGAAGTGGTTAGAATCTTTTCCTGAATGACATCATTACAGTGAAGCTCTAAGATGCGTAGAGAAAAATAAAGCAGTGCTCAGCTGTTAGTTTATTATTTTCTCAATAGCTCCTTCGAAGTGCAATAATGGGACGCATCTGTTGTGGAAGGCAAAACATGTTATCAAATGGTTCAGTTCAAGCACATGCTCATTCATCTGAGCATAGGAGGAAAGCTTTATTCAGCAATCCTTTTTTTTAAAATTATGTATTGACTGAGAGAACTGGATAGGTCCCTGAAGTCCTGAAAAAACAGAAACACAGAGGATAACAGTGCAAGCTAACACACACCTATAGAAGAATCCATACCATCCCAGTGTAGTGGGGAGGCACCTCCTTCCGGCTGGCTTGCTCACTCTCAACCAAGAGCTATGCAAACAGCTTTGCCTACAGGAGGAGTGGGCAGATGTGGGCTCCAAATAGTGCTGAAATCAGGAGCACTGTCAGCCTACAGGCAGGCAATTTTCAAACTAAGAGCATGGAAACAGACTCCAGTGCTGTGGGCTGTGTAACCACACTTGGGTGCTAAATTGCATAACTGTGCTCTGCGGAACCCAATTAAGGAAGGGCCTGCAATTGTGCTGGCAGCCATTTGGCTCTCCCTTCCCGCCTTGCCTGCTATTGCTTGATCTTCATTGAGAAATTTCTAGATGTTTGTTTTTGAGAAACATACAGGGATAGAAAAAAAAAATGAGGGATGGCCTAGGAGAAGGACAGGAGGGCTTTGATTTGAGAACTGGTTGTGGGGAGATTAAATTGCATTATTTATCTCTTAAAAATTACTGCCCTGTTTATTTTAAGGGACGTTTTGTGTTTCCCTTCTGCTTCATGCCATTTGAAGTTTGCCTGAAATAGTGAAAAGCTGGCATTATCATTGTAGTGACAATGAGCTCAGGCAATGGTCACCAGCATTTTTTCAATAAGTTTACTCTAGAATTGTGAGCGGCAGTAAGAGAGACCTGTGTTCCCTATGGATGTCGTGAGCAAAGCAGATGTCACACAGTGAGACTCTGCGGGGCAAAGCAGTAAGAGCTCTGGGCACTGGAGACTTACTCAAGCTTGCCAGCTGTTTTGACTCTTAATGTTACGGGAAGCACATCTTTCACATTAAAGATACATCTGAGTCTTCCATTTTTGTGCTGCTTGCTTCTTTTTCAAGGTTGGGCAGCAGGGGGACAGAGCAGCACCCTTGCTTTACACAGATGTCACATGTACCTGCGAACACTTGTGCACACACACATCTCCGCATACATGCTCTGGATTGTCAGTGATCTCCATGCTCAAACATTTTTCCAAACAGCTATTCATGACCAATATTGCCCATACACCAATGCAGAGTAAAACAAACAAACAAAACAAAAAAACCAAACAAGTCTAAATTTTCTCAGTCTTGCCTATTCAGATAAATGACACAGAACTACCATGATACTGGCTTCAATTGTAAGCCTTTCACTGTGAGGCTCTGTGTATCAAGTCGCAGCAGCCAGGAAAGATGACCCGCACAGACGAGCTGTTCTTAGCTTTCAACCTGAATCACATAATCGCTTTCCTGTCTACCTCCATGCCAGCAACTAAACTCAGAAGCACAGTCAGGGGACTCCGAGGCCCAGGGGACCCCACGGCATACCACGTAACCCCCAGCCTCACATAACTCTTCCTCCCTCCATCACCTGATTTCTTAACCTGTTTTACTTTTCATCCAGATGTGTCTGGTCAGTTTGTTTGGCTCCTATCTTAAATGCTCTTAGCCATAAAGTGGGAAATAAACATATGAAAAGAAATTAGAAGCAGCTAGAGAAAGGAGAAGGAACTAGAAATGTAAAGAAGGGCCTAGTGGAAAGATTAAGGAAGGATGAATCAGGGTGCCAAAAGCTAAGGGGGTTATGTTAACAAGCAGCTGTGTCTGGGAGGCTCAGAACCGGCATTTCTAGAGTCAGCCTTGCCTCCGCCAGCTCATCAACTGTACATCTTGGACCTTCTGCACCACCTGGAAAGGGAGGGGTACAGCACACAATGAGCTGGAACTGTAAAAAAAGTTCTTCTAACCTCTTAGCATCCAGAGAAACCAACTCTCAGAATAAACTCTAAATCATTTGTTTGAGGCAAACCCAGGAAGAAGGACACACCCCACCTTTAGCTGATTCTGTACTGTGGGGATGAACACCTTCTTTTCCAGGTCCTCTCCATCTGGTGAGCCTCAGGGTGCAAACACCTAGGCCACATGGCAAGGCTGTGGATCAGCCAATAAGCTCTGCCTGAGAGCCTTTTCTCATTTATCATCAGAATCTCTTCATACTATGGTTTGAATCTATCCCCACGTTGGAAGATTAATCCCTAGCTCAACTGTGCTGAGAGATGGGACCTCTAAGGATAATGAAGTTACAGAAGAGCTGCCCTCATTAAATAGCATGCTATTTGCAGAGAGTGGGTTCCTTACAGTGGGATGAATTAAGTTTGCTTCCTCTGATCCCATCCCTTGGTTATGTGACCTTCTACCCTCCTGCTCTATGCAAAAGAATCTGCTCATCTCATGCTGGCACCTTCTCTTGGACTTGTTGCCCTCTGAAAGCTCTGAAACATAAACTTTTATTTATGAATTACACAGCTTCAGACACTATAACAGGCCCCAAAAGATTGGGCCCTAAATCTAGCTGCCTTCTAGCTTATTGCTCCAAGTGTGTGGGGGGAGGTGTTCCTCCCTCGTCTACCCTAAACAGTGCCCTAAGCACCCTAGACCAGTGCTGTGCCCCAGGCTAGGCTTGAAGACCAGACCTAAGAAGGCAGTGAGCAGAGAGACATGCTCTCAGTACAACGAGCTGATATGGAGCATCTAATCACAGAACGGTGCCTGTGATGGAGCCACTGCATTCAGGGCATGCAGACCATCATGAAGAAAGGAAGAGGTCCTGGTTTTCTGAGAGTAAAGAAAACATTCATATCCATGCTGGTAGGTGTCAGCAAGATTAACAAGTTACAGAACATTATTTTTAAAAAGAAAAAAGTTTCTATGTCACACCCATTAGAATATCTACTTAAAAGTAAAATAAAAAATAGCAAGCACTGTGGAACCCATTTGTACCCCTGGGAATGTGAAGTGGTTTGGCCACCATGAACATTCTTCCAAAAACTAAAAATAGAACTAACATGCATCCCAGCAGGTCCACTTGTGGTACATGTGTGCTCTTGTTTGTGTGTGTATGTATGCAACTGTGTGCTCCTCTTTGTGCATGTGTGTGTACATGTGCATACTCTTGTGTGTGTGTGCTCTTGTGTATACTTATGTATATGTATTTATGTGTGTGTATGTGCTAATGGTATATGTGTGTGTTCATATGCTTGTATGTGTATGCTCTTGTATATTTGTTCTTGTGTGTGTGTGTGAGTATTATGCTCAGCCAGGCACAGTCTCCCCAGCTCGTCTGCCCATGTGTCACCTGACCTTAGAGTTCCATTTCTTTTACCCACAAAGCCAGAGTGGGGAGCCATCCTATTTTCCTGTTGTAATTATTCCAGCTGATGGAGCATACGGTATTTGCTCAGCCTCCAGAACAGGCCTGATCACACATGGGACAGCAGACCTCACCCCAGCCCTGAGATCCCAGCCCTAGGAGCAATGAAGCTGACACTGAAACCCTGCTCCTGATTCCAACGAATACAGATTTCTGCTCCTATTCAGTGCAATCTAGTAACACAGGGAAAAGAAGCCACCATGCCCTGGGGACCTCCTGGACTGCACAGGATGCCATGGTCCAGGGAGTGTTAACATAAGCCCAAGTCACTCTATCCATGGAGGTGTTCAGACACTGGTGCCAGGAAGAGCCCATTACATCAGCTCGTCATCACCTCGTTATTTCCAAGAACTCATCATAATTTTGCAAAGCTTGTTGTTTTAATGACTTTTTAATTATCTCCCCCCTTTCCTCCTCCTTAATTGCTCACTTGTCAGTTTAAAGAATTCCTCTAAAAAAATGCCTCTTTGGATGATGACACCCACTTCAGTTAAAATTCCATTAAGCACCTCACCCAGCAAGCTTATTCAAATGATCGGAGGGAGACAGAATAGCACGTAGAAGCTTTGAGCAAGCAGAAAAGCAAGAGTCTAGGCCTCCATCTGGGTGACCCTCCACCCTTGATGTCCGGGCACTGTGTGACTTACTGATTTTTATATTCTCATCGGCAAGTAAGCCAGGTATACACAAGGAGGAAGCTCCTTGCTAAGGCAGCTGTGAACCTTGTTCGTTTCACAATAAACAGTAAGAGGTCACTCTTGCAGCCTCCCAGCCCACAGCCCTGAGGAAGACTGGGCAGCATGCCAGGTGCTTTTCCTGTTGCTGTGACCACACCCTGTCCAACGCAGCCCTAGGAGTGGAGAGTTTATTTCAGCTCACAGTTCTAGGGCACAAGCCCTGGTGGCAGGGCAGTTGTGACAGCACGAACCTGTGTCCACAGCCAAGAGGCAGAGAGATAAATCTGGTGTTCAGCTTGTTTGCTCCTTCCTATTCAGTCTCAGCCCCAGTCTCTGGGGTTGTGCCACTCACAGTTAGTGTGGTATTCCCGTCTCATTTAACCCAGTCTATATGCTGCTCAGAGGCATCTCCAGAGATGATCTTAGACCTCAACAACCCGGCAGTCAACGTTATCAGCTATTATACCAGAGGACACTCAATTAGTTTCCTTCACTTAATAAACATTTAGTTTCTGCCAAGCACTGCGCAAAGCATGAAAGATACTGAGGAGGACGAGATGGACGAGGTCACTGCTCTCATAGAGTATGCACATGTGAAGACTTTACAAACGTCCTGTGTTGGTATAATGTTCTTGTGGAATGTATACAATTTACCCTTGTTTATTCAAATGCTGATTTCTCTACCCCACTGTCTGTTTTCAATCTGGACATTTCATTGGGATGTTTATTTTATTCTAAGCACCACCTGTCTCAAGTTTGTGTAAACACGCCACCATTTGTTCTCTATATTGTCAATAAAACAACCAGCCAATGCTGAGCAATGGAGAGAATAGGGTGGAACATCTGGAGGGGAGGAGACAGAAGGGAGTGGGAAGGGAATCGAGAGAGAGAGAGAGACAGAGAGAGAGAGAGAGAGCGAGAGAGAGAGAGAGAGAGAGAGCTGGGAGGAGAGGACAGCAGGAGAGATGAACCAACTGGACCTAAGCTGTATCTAAAAAGCAACTATAATATGGGGAATCTGAATGGGAGGAGGCTGTGCAGGCTTGAATGTTTAGGATGGAGTAATTATTGTCCAGCATCATGCTCTTGTTTAATTAAAAAACCAAGTCTCTGTGTGGTGATTTGGGTATACAGCTGGTTTAGGAATAACCGCTGCTTAACTAAAAGATAAATTAATAATAAATATTAATAACCAACAACAGTCCTGTCATAGGAACGACCAAGAAGTTTTAAAGACTCAAAGAGGAACTCATTGTAATAGCAGCTAGGAAGATGAGGGAGTGGGAAGGGCGTGAGTTGGAGAGGGTATCAGCAACAAGTCTTGTAGAATCTGCAGATCTCGGAAGAAGAAACATGCTTCTGTATAATCAACAGAAAGCATTACAGAAGGTAAGGTGGAAGCCATATGATATGATAGAATCCATATTCTAAAAACCATTTTGGAGCCACACATGGTGAGCTCGTATCTACAAACCAGCTCTAGAAGGTTTGAGATAGAGTCATTACTATGAATTTGAGAAGAACAGCCTGATCTACAAAGAAAAACTCTACTTCAAAGCCAACAGAATTTGACTGCATTATAGAAAATCAACACTCTTTCTTCTGATTTCATTTCCCTCACTATATTTTTAATACGACCTGAAGCAGGCCCTCCCCCATGACCAAGCTCTTTAACCATCTCAGTGCTTGCCAGGTTAGATCATCCTGGGGAAAACAAGGTAAGAAGGAGAGATGCTTCATGCAACCAATGAAAATGGGGGAATAGTGAAGTGCTTGGACAAGGGTGCCCTAGGCTTATCTTTTATGCAAAGTATCATGACAGACTTGTTAACAAGTCAGCCTTTACCAAAATCTAAGAGCTTCCCAGCAATATGATCTCCATGTACCAGTCCTCTGTTGATGACTGACTGCAACATCCTTGATCACGGAGAATGGGGAAAACTAATAGCTCCCTGTTAGTGCTCCAGGACAAGAGTCTAAAAGTATGTTCTTTACTCAACTGCATTGCATCCATGCAGAAGTAAGAAAACTGCCAAGAGGGGGCAAAGAGCTGAGATTCCAGAAGGAATGATGGGAAATCAGGCAGCTGCACGTGTGGGGTGTGGTCATATCACTGTGTTGGGGAACACACTTTGAATTCTTCTTTTGGGCCTGCTGCACTTTTCCCCACGGGGTCCATCTGCATTCTCTCCTACAGCCCCTGGACTCCGCTCTGAAGCAATGAGGCCCCTTGCTAAGACCAGTGGTACTTTACCAGGGTGAGGTGGCGGGGATGCGGCAGGACTGTGGGTGGCGGTGGGACTGCTGGAAGACGAGGATGTGGTGAGGTCCAAGGCTCCGATCCTTGCGTTCAAGGACGAGGTCAAGGACAGCTTTCTGGCCCTCACTGGGGAGGATGTTCTGGACATGGCCAGGGGAGGTGGGGAAGAGAACTTTCGACACAGACGTGGAGATTTTCCATCCACCAAATGTTCTCTATTGTTCTGGCTCGTGGCGAAAAATAACTCTAACGATCTAAAAAGAAGAGCAAATGCTGTGGATAGATTGTAGTGAAGGAGGACATGTTTTAGATATCACACAAGAACACTCTCTGCTTGTCTACATCGAAGGCCTTGATACCATTCCACTGCCCTGCTGATGTTCCTTACTCTACAAGCTACAGGTGCACGTGTTCTTTCCAGGGAGAGCACAGACACTGCCCGGCACCTGATTCCCTGCCCGCTAAGGTGTGAGCTCTTTAAAGTCAAGAGCACTCCATCTTTGGAGTCCTGCTAGTTGTGCCAGATTCAGGTCTGTTCCATAGTTGCTGCGTCAACAACACATCCCTCTCCTCACATGCTCCGGGGCACGTCAACACTAAGAGCACAGCTGCCAAAGATACAAATAGTCATAACAGTAATTAGTAATGATGGTGTAATGGGAAAATAAATGAGCCAGCTTCCTAATAGAGTAATCACAGGTCACCATCACATCAGCCATCTCCATGTCTTCCCAGGGACCTTTAACTTTACAGCTCCACTGATGGAGTAAGGTCAAAGGTGAGCCGATAGCTTAGGGCTGCGAGTACTGACATCAGCAAAGCTGGTATACCTGACAGGAATGGAGGTGAAAGGCCTCTTGTAGATGTCGGTGAGCTTCGCCAGCACCACGGTGGCTGTGGTGAAAATGCGATAGGTGTGCAGGAAGGTGTTGAGGAAGTCGATGCTCAGAAACCTTAAGTCTGTCAACCGCTCCAAGAGGCGCTCCACGCTGGCGTAGCGGATCTGGGGCACTTTGCAGGAATTGAGCGTTTTACTGAAACAGATGTCAGTGTCGTCTTTATGAAGACGGGCATCAGACCTACATGCAAAGCAGGAACACGTGAGCAAAGCTGGCAAAACTCCCGCCTCAGCCACTGAGGCCTGCAGCGTTTGTAAACTACACTCTGGGAGGCTTCTAGTGTCCTCCGCAGATGACAGTGCGTTCAGGTGCCACAACATGCCACAGATGTGTTTGAGAATGTTAAGTGCCACCGTGACGGTCTAATTTAGGGAGGCTAGAACAAATTATGGGGGTTGTAATGACACCTGATTTTACAGTGTGGATTCTTTCTTGCTCTAATTCAATAGCGTTTTATTAGAAAGATGATACCAGTCCTTTTTAGTAGAAGGAAGAAAGATTTCTCATATACTTAAAGCAGAATGTCAGAAATGTGCTTAAAACATAGTGATGACAAGCCCCAGTGCACGGAGGAGGGAAAGATGGCTATTCCTCCTGTGTAAGATGTTAGGACACATTGTGTGTAAATATGTGAGACCAGCACACAGGCCATCATTTACTATTTTACCTTCTGAAGCCAGAGCATTCAGTAATTACACTGCTTTTTATATTCTAACGTGCTGCTATCTATTTTTAACTTATTATGCCCTTCCAGGATTTTCCTACATTTAACTTCTCAATCTTTTCCTTTAACTTTTTTCCTTTTATTTTACTTTCTTTTTGTTTTTCTTTCTATTTATTTGTTTTTTATGTTTTTGTTTGTTTTTTTTATGCAGGGAGATACATGTGGAGATCAGGGGAGAGCTTGCCGTGTGGGTTCCATGTGGGGGCAAACGCAGGTGGCTGAGCTGCCGCCTCCTTTCTGCACTCTGCCGTCCTGACTGGCCCTCTCATCCTTTTCCTAACTTTCTGCGTTGAGTGCGTAATTGATTTATTTTATTCTTTCTGGTTTTTAATATGCTTAATTTTTATACAATTTAACTTATAATTTGCCATGCTAGATTTGCATTCTGTTTTCAATATTCTGCAGCATAGGAAATGAACCCTTTAAAAAATTACTTCTGGGTAACAGTCCTGTGGGCAGTATGTAATACTGATGCCGTGTGAAATGCTCTCCTCTCTCACTCTGTAAATACTTCCATCTGCTGCCCCTGACTTCAGCAAGGGCTGCTCACTGGCCCCTTCACTGGCAGAACCACTGACACCGCCTTTTGCCTTCGCTTCTTGACCACCTCTGCCCCTCTTCAAGGCAGCATCAGAACAGAGAACTCAGGATGTATGCAGGGGCTTGCTTTTTTTTTTTTTTTTTAGAGCCAATTTCTTGCTAAGAATCAGCTGACCTTGTTATGAGGGTTCCCGCTTAGGCCTTTTAATGCTTTAAAGAATTTTAAATTATATATTTATTTTCTCTGGGATAAGCAGGAATCAATAGCTTTCCGAGCTTGCTCTAGCACAGAGTATATGTAGGGCAGGCAGAGGTGCTTCAGCTGCAGCATGAAAGAGCATTTTAAATGGCCAGCCTACCTGTCTCTGCACGGGACCTTGCCAGGGTAGCCTGCTGACTTTATTCACATTATTGATTTTGGAAATATATTAGTGGTGCTTTGGAGGTTAAAAAAAAAAAAAAAAAAAAAAAAACAGAACTGCTCTTCACCCATTTACTGCATGATCCTTTACTATGAGTAGCTTTCTGGCTCTCGAGTTCTCATTTATCAAAAGACCCAGGTAACTTTTATGAATTAATCAGTCTATTCCTGAAATGGTTGAATAAAATAGTCATTTTTTTCTCACTTTTTCCATCAAACTCTCCATTTTCTAAGAAAGTCAAGGTCAAATATTATTGAAAAGAAAAAAGCCTAAGTCTATATACCATGTAAGGGAATATTTTCATGTAATAGCTACCACTGTTTGCATTCTAAGTAGTTTTGAGCTTTTGCATCTTTCTATAATTAGTTTCTTCAAAACAGTAGGAGGAAAAAAATGTGTTGCAGCCAGCATGAGATTAAGTTAAACTAATTACACCACTGTCCTTCAAATTTGTGATTATATTTTCATTTTAAGAAAGAAATTAAATATTATGAAGTTACTTAATTTTCTTTTATTACACTGACTAGGCTCTTCCATGATTTCCTCAGAGACTCTCAAGAAAGCTGCAGTGTGTTACTTAAGCCTCTGACAGCAATAGCAGCTCCTTTTTGGTAAACACATAAAAAGCAATCTTGAGAGATCAAAGCCAAATCACCCATTATAATTGATGAGCTCCAAAAGGAAGTGAGTGCTTAGGCACTGATGTCATGCCAGTAACAAGATGCGGTTATGTTAGGATATTTTCCTTTTAACTCTGAGAATGTTCTTGTAACCATGGAGACAGATGCACAGGAAAGCAGAAATGCAGGCCTTAAGGTATGCTTTCCTCTGATTGAAGAGAATCAGTGAGGCTGGACAAATGGAGAATTAATTTGTAAACCTTCTCTCTGTCTTAGGACTACACCAAGTATGCCGTAGAGACTCTGGCAGGTCAGCAGGTCTCTCTCACTTCTGTGAATTCAAAGGCAAAAAAGTTTGCTGTGTGAACGCAGTTATGCAAATGAGAATGGACAGGCACACTGTCATGGTAGGGGACAGTAAATACGTATGGCACCGGCCACGAGGGTCAGGCACACAACTGAAGTTTCTATTAACTTTGGAGGTCAACAAAACATGCACAGAGTGAGAGAAACCACAAGTACAGAGTAAGTTACTGTGGTTTCTATGGGCTTTGAACTTACCTACAATGTCTGACTCGCCTTTATGATTCTAAAGCAACATGAACTTTTAAATATATACTCTGTGTGAAATCAGAATTCTCTCATAAAAATAATAACAAAATCCTACTCAAAAAAACAAAGCATATTCTAAACCTGACTTAATATTCCATACTTGTTCTGAATATTCAGGTATCTTAATTAATTCATGAAGAAATTTCTAAGTTAAAGGCCTTGGAAATTAAATGCAAAAACAGCCTTTCCAAAATATTTTAAAATTGACTAAAATTTGAGATGCTATTTTAAAATTTTATTTTATTTTACTATTTCTAGCATTGCAACCTCTGCCTTCGTGGGATGTTCCTGCACACGGGGACAATGCTAACCGACTCGGAAGCATGAGAGCATCCATCTATAGGTAATGCTGTAGTTCGTCTCAGCATGCAGCTCAGACCTGAAAATCTCCATACAGGAAAGCATGAAAGTGATGCTCTTGTTTTCAAAGAACTTAAATACATCTCTAGCCAAGTTGTTTTTAAAGAAGACATTCTACTCCTAAAATGTGGAATACAAGGGATTTGAGAGACGGCTCAGTGGTTAAGAGCACCGTGGACCTGGGCTAGTTTCTAGCATCCACATGGTGGCTCACAGCTGTCTGTAACTCCAGCCCCAGGAAAGCTGATGCCCTCTTCTGTCCTCCAAGCGCAGGTGATGCACAGACATGCAGACAGACAGCCATACACATGCAATAAAAACAACGTGGAACCCAAATAACCACACATAAAATGAGAACAAAGAACAATTTCTTTCCCAGTTTCTGAAGTTGAAGATGAAACAATAAACAGGCTCAAGACTGCTGACACAAAGAACTCTGGCATGCACAGTTGAGAGCTGTTGGCATGACTTCCCATTTTAAACTGCGGCCTCCTAGTGACACACTGAGGCGATAGGACTTGATTTGGTGATGAGTGGACGGGAAAATAGCCTGAGCCAATGGCCTTTGAGCAGTGCGAGACACATGCAGAGAGTAGTAGCACCACATTCATGCCTGCTGATGGCCGTCGGGTGTGCTCATTGTCTGACCCTGGCACTACAGCCAAACCTGAATGAGGGGATTCATACTCACTGGGATGATGCCACATAAGTCAGCCACACCTTCATCCACCCCCCGACCTTGAGCAGGTTTTAATATTGATCTTGAACATCTTGACAGGATTTTTGTCCTGGGCAAGGGTATATGTTAATAGTATGAAAACAAATCTCAATGCTATCTGCCAATGTGCTGTGAATCTGAAAAAGCATTTTGATATCAGTTATGGTTAGTTATAATGACTTAACATGAATCACTTCATGACTGACAAGAGGTACATTCTCCAGAAGAGGCAGAATACTACTGGCAATATTCTTTTCAAGGTTTCTCATTCCCTGCTGATCTGATCTCAATTTAAATGGAAGGAAGAGGATTTCTGCACTTACTTAATCATATGTGGCACAGTCACTTTGGAATTCTCTTCAAACACTATAGTCATTAAACCATTACATCGTATATTGTCCACGCACTGTGAAATTAAAAAAAAATAGGGAATTAAAACCCACATGAAAACTCAGAAAAGTCAGATTCCAAAAATCAATTCACATCCTCGTCTGTTCATGTTTTACACATCTACAGAGAGAGAGAGAGAGAGAGAGAGAGAGAGAGAGAGAGAAAGATAAATGTTACACATTGATAAGCTCATTTAATGTTATTCATATAATCAAACTGTATTGGCCAAATGCATGACAAAGTACCGATAGATATAAGGGCTATATTTTCCCTGAGTGTGTTTCTTATTAATTTTTTTTAATGGGACTGGGGAATTGAACTCAGGACCTTGCACATAACAGTCAAGCACTCTTCCCTCAGCTCTTCAGTACCAGTTTCTTAGAATTCTGACCACAAGATCACTCTGTCACAATTCTGTGTCAGTCCAAAAACTAACTGGGAGGCTTGTACCTTCTTTCCCAGCTACAGTCATTTTCTGCCACCAAGGGCGATATGGAATAGCCAGATTGCAAATGGCATTCTGGATGGAAATCTCTTGCTAGCAAGCTCTGTGCCCACGTCTCAGGTGCCTTTTTGCCAATAGAGTCTCACATTTTACTAGTTTGTCTAGCAGTTTCTGTTGGCACCACATCGGGTTGGTGAGGGGGCAGAGTGTAATTTCTTGTGTTTCTGGCAGTCTGTAACCACTTTCTCTGTTTTCTAAGTGAACTGAGGAACTTTGGTGAGTTCCCCATTTTATGTGTGTGTATATGCCTTATTGACTTAAAATCTTCTGCTGCTGCAATTACCTTGGGTTAAAGAATAATTCATTCTGAGTTATAAATATTCCTTTTGGAGAACATAAATACAAACAAGATGTACACAAATTTTAAAATCAGAACTTGCTTCTAGCCACAATGATACCACATGGAGCTCATGACTAATTAAATGGTACAGAGAATATCATTATATCATGACCTCACATAGAGCTTGATTTCAAGGCCTAACCTGAGTCCCAATGCTAAATGAAAGAGTGACAATGTGTAGAAGATATAATTAAATTACTAATTGTTTGGTCAGCTTGGTCTGTAAGCCATTTTTATGTTTGTTTGTTTTTCAAAAGTTGTTTTCCTCAAATCTTATATCATTATTTAAGCTAGCAGGAAGGAAGGATCCAAGCCTAAGAAAATGAAGTTTTCTTTTCTGCATTTCCTTAAACTATAATCTTGGGAAACAATTTTGTGTTACGTTTCCTCACACACACAAATGCATAGTTCGCTATCAGTTTGCTTAGATGTGAATTTAGGCTCCACCCACCCTCTGCAAGGTTGATGCTAAAGATGCAGGACACAAGTCACGGCTGGCCAGATCACATCAGAGGAAAAGGTAGAAAACAGTGAGATAAAGCTCAGAACGAAACCATCACACACACTTCCTGTCTAAACATTTGCTGTCAGTAACTCTCAAAATGCAACGCCGTGGGGGGCTGACGCAGGGACACACATACAGGAAGACCCAGAAGTCACTTGCCAGAATTCTAGTGATCCCGAGTCCAAGGTCAGAAAGAAAAAATATTTCCTAGGTTCTCCTAAAGCAAATACGATATAATACTTATTTTAGAAGCACAACATCCCCATCTTGGACTCAGAAGAATTTGGTCCAGAGGTGGGTTCCATCTGCTGAGCTGATTCCCAGAACAGGCCTTATAACTCTCTGAAAAAGTGAGAGTCACCCCTATTCATGGTTGGAATAAATGCTGCTACACCTAGTTCACATAAATCATATGTCACCAGAAGGAGAAACTTCCTACCCCCAAGTCCTGAAACAGCAGTGTTGTATATGGCCAGTTCTGGAGTGTTCCCAACCAGTGAGCCAAGCTGCCGTAGGCTGGTAACCTCTTGGACATAAAACATGATGACAGGGCCTTTATAGGGGAGTTCTCAGGGCCTGGTGCCAAGGTATGTTGGAAACTCCACTGCACAGTTTAGAATAAAGATGAGCAAGAGAAGGAGGCAGCTGGAGTCAGGCGATGAGGAAGAGAATTTTGAATCTGGACCTTTATCCTGAAGTCAGATGGGGAGCCGCTGAGCCTTTCTAAGCTTCCTTTATGTCGGGTGAATTAACCTGGGCTCATGGAGACACTCTTAGTGAAGAGGAAGACGAAACTGAGACCCATTAGAACAATCATTAGGTGTCATTAGAACAATATTCTGAGTTGATAAATGAAATGACCTATGCTTACCAGGAGACAAATTGTGGAAATGAAAAGGAAAGTGAAATATTATGAAGAAAAATTTAAGAAAACATTATAGCACAAAAACCAAAAAAAGTCAATGGTAAAAATTCATTACTGTAAGATAACTAAGATAAGGTAAGATTAAAATAATCTTACCTTACTGTAAGATAATTTAATTTTTTTTCTGATAGCAATAATGATGGCAATGGTGATATATAGGCAATGCCCTTTGATTAAAACAGGTTTAACTCAAACCAGTCTATCTTTTGAATTGTTAAGAACACCAAGTAGCTGCATTCAGCATAAATCCTGGGGTCTTTACAAAATGAGTGCTTCACAACTACACATATTAAATACTTATAAGATGGAAAGTAGACTAAGTAAAACACTCTGGTAAAAGCAGCTCTCTGGAGAATCGTTGATTCTGGCTCACGATGAAAAAGTCAAGACAGCAAGACCTTGAAGACTGACATGGTCCTACATCTGCTCTCTAAGGGAAGACAATGGATGGCTGTGAGTCAGGGCTCAGCTCACTTCCTTACTTCCTCCACTGCTTACAGTCCAAGATCCTCTGCCCAGGGAACTGTCCTGCTCAGATGAAAATGGGTCTTCCTTCCTTCATTCATTAAGATAATCTTCACAGGCATGAGCAGAGCCCCATTTCCCAAGTGATTCTAATTTCTGTCAAGTTGACCATTAGCACTGGCCATCACAGTACATGGTTTCAAATTCACTTTCTCAATAGAAAACAAGAGCAAGGGTTTAACATTTATTATCTTATCAAGCTGTATGTTGGGGCATGGGTAATCAAGAAAGGGTTTTATAGCAAGAGGTTGCAAATAGCCAGGGAGAGGAAGGAGAGATATTTCCTTTCCTCCAAAGACCTTTGCAGCTACTCTTACAACTTCCTTCCTCTTCAGTGTTTCTGACATACAATGAGTAGTCAACACAGAAGGTGGGAGAGTAGAAAGATGGAGTTGGTGTAAAAATGAGAAATGTTCCCCTATTTTCTTTTACTTTTATAAGTAAATGGCATAATGACATAAGCAACAACTCTCACGGTGATTGTACAAGCAAGAACAGAGGCGAAGCAACCATCACACCCACACAGCCTAGAGTCCCCACAGTCCCAGAGAGGCAAACATCTCAGTCAAATGGAACCCAGCCAAAAAGGAACAGGCAAAAGAGGTGGTTCAAGTCACACACCTGAGTCACAAAGAATCATCTACACCTCCTCCAAGACAGGAGTCACAAGACAGGAGTCACAGGAGACTTAATTCCATTTAGTTAGTTAGTTAGTTAGTTAGTTAGTTAGTTAGTTAGTTAGTTAGTTAGTTAGTTA